GTCATGAAGAGTGTTCTTGAGATAGGGAAACGACAGGACGGAAAGGAAATGTATTGGTTCTCTGAGTCACGTGTTCCTCTATATCTAATCAAAGAGTATGAAATTAAGTTACTTAAAAATCTTCCTTCTAGTGCTGCTGATAAACCCGTGAATGCATTTTCTAAGCAGTCAAGAAAATGGTCAAGGACAGTTCGTGGAGATGTATTCACTTACCTCGCATGTAAAAGAGATGGTGATGACAAACGTTCATGTGCTGTTTGTCAAGTAGATGTGTTCTTAAGGTACTTTGGTTCATATTTTTGTTTAATACATGTTGAACTATAAAAAAAAGTACAGACCGGCATGTGAGCTCCCATCGTGTTTTTTTGCATCAACAGATGCATTCTTAGGTGTGGTTTGGTAGTGTTTTTATTCATGTTTTCATATATCTGAGAGCAAAATCAAAATATTGAGTCTTCATTTTGTGTTTTTACATTTTCATTGTTTCAGAAGCATTTTCCAACTTCGACACTATAAAACAATCACTCTGCATATTCATTTCTTCTAAATTTCAAGTTTTTTTTGCATTACGAATAGTATAAACCACATCTATCTACATAACAGATCTTCATACTCGTTTCTTATTTTAGAAATTTGTGAATAAAACAAAATAACACAATTTTGAAAACAGGAAATATGAAAAGCCATCAAATAATTTATTATCGTATTGCAATATCTATTGGTTAGTTAGGTGTTTAATATTTGTTCACGTGGCATTTCATAATTGTCTATTTACTAATGTTCAACAACTTGTTCAGGAATGGCATCATTTGCTGTGTGTGCCAAGGTATTATGTCTATCTGTCTCTTTCCCATATTTTAGTATTTTTGCCCTTGCTGTATAGTCTCCAAAAGTTCTGTTTATTGACAGGTCTTTGTCATGAGCAATGTACAACCAGTTCAACAGCTAACCCACACTATGACTCGTTATGCATTATAAGATCTTGCAAACAATGTCATCAAAACAGTTCTGTTGCACAATGTGCAATCAATAATGAATCTCCAAACAGCCCTCTTCTCCTGCAAGGTCAAGAATTTCCAAATGCTGATACAGCCCGCAAAGGTGGGATGCTTAGCAGCTGTAAGCGACTTTCTTCATCAAGCCGAGGCAATGTGCGTTCTTCCGATGTGAAACCAAATGGAAACTCACATTCAAAAGCAAAGTTAAAGACTTTGGGTGTGATATGGAAGAAGCCGAGTGCAATTGAGACTGACATTGATTTTATAAACAAACACATTCTTAGAAAGGGCGGTCCTGTAAATGGATCCGGACCATCTTGCCAGCTTTGCCAGAAACCATATAATCCTGATCTGATGTACATTCACTGTGAAAAATGCCAGCGTAAGCTTCCGTATTTGCTGTATATAAATTGTGTTTATATTAGGAGTTGGGGGTTGTTTGGCATTGATTTTGACTCATTTGTCAAAACTACCAGAAATTTCTGCTGTTTTATGCAATAGCATGCGAGGATCTAGAAATTTATGGTTCTAAGTGCTCCCTGCAGGAGGTAGACTCAGAATCAGTAGTTATGAGAATCATATCCAAACAACCCATCATCACTCATAAAAAACTTTGGTAGGGATGTTTCAGTAATTTTTTTTGTGCTTCCAGATTGGTACCACGCTGACGCTGTTGAACTTGATGAGTCAAAGATTTGCGATGTCATGGGGTTCAAATGCTGTAGATGTCGCAGGATCAGAATACCGATATGTCCATACTTGGATCAAGAAAGCAAAAAACAGTTGATGGAGAAGAGGACCCGTTCAAGACCTTCAAAGGTCGTAGAAGATCCAGGAATGGATTCTGATTCTGGGACAGTCGTCTCATCAGAGCCTCGTACTCCCATAGTTGTACCACTCCTACAGGAGGAGGAAACAGTAGACACCGATTTTCTTTGCTCCCTCTCATCGATGGAGAAAACCACTAAGCAAAACCCACAAGTTTATTGCAAACAAGAAGTCACGGCACCTTTATCTATTGGACGAGGCACCAAAAAGTTGCCCATCAGGAGGCACACAAAGCGCGAAGACAACTCCGATTCTTTTGGGGAAGACAATAAAGCAGTTACTACATGTGGTGCTGATAACAGTAATGCTCCAGCAGAAGAGGGTGTGGTGTTACTTAACTGTGATGGCCTCAGCTATGAGGACATGGAGTTTGAGCCCCAAACCTATTTCTCTTTCAATGAGTTATTACTTGAATTTGATATGGGGAATGCCATGCCTAAAACTGAATCTCCCTCATCTTTGGCGGTGGTGGCTGCAGAGGAACCTGCTGAAGCAGTTGTTCCATGTATGGTTTGCTCACATGCGGACCCCGCCCCTACCCTCTGTTGCGAGACCTGTGGGATATGGATCCACAGGCACTGTTCCCCATGGTTCGAAGAACTGTCCGATGGAAGTTTTTGGAAATGTGGCACTTGTCGCGAGTGGAGGTAACATAATATGGAGTAGATTATATCTCAAGGTGGCTTTTTGTCAATATGGTATTATGCAGATTGGTTCCACACTGGTATATAAGTCTTTCTCTAATCTGCAAGGGTAGTGCCCGCGTGACTTTTTAGCTGGCGGCCCCACCGGGCACGACCTTGATGGGTTAAGATGGAAAGACGTAACTGCCCTCACCAATGTGTTCCTGTGGCCAGGCTGAAGGATTGGGGGGGGGGGGGGGGGNAGGCGGGCGGGGGTGGCTTGCCCGGTATATGTGGTGGCTGTATGAATCAGACATATAATAACGTTGGGGAGGCTTTTTTTTAAATGATTTATTGGGCGGGCAGAGGAATGTTTGGATTGGATGGAAAGGAGTGAATATATAGAGAGTTCCATCATTTATATCTTTTGTTAATCCTACGTAATATTAAATATATTTGGATGGAATTAGTGAAAGCAGCTCTTTAAAATTAAGGATTAAATCAAAGTGCACAAAGTTTTAAGAATCTGGCTGTTTATTTTAACTTTGTAAATGTATGTATGCCATCCCTTTGTGTCGTATTCAATTACTCCCTCCGTCCCCGTGCTGTTTCGGTGGTTTATTATATTTGATTGAAGTTATTTTTTATTTAATCTATTTGAGAATTAGGAAGTGAATGAAGTTTAATCATGTGAATAATAAATATGGAGTTTAATTTAAAACGAAGGAGTAAAAGGTTTACAGTATCGTTGGAGCATATTAATGGTGTGTGACATTTAAACAACAAAATTGACGTTAAGGATCCGTTTGGTACACGGAATTGATGGAATTGAAATTGAATTGAAATTAAAATTTTATGGGATTTAATTCCATAGAATTGAATTCACCAATTTCAGTTCATTTTTTGCACTACCAATTTCAAATCCACATAACTTTTGTGCTACCAAACACGAGAATTGGAATTGAAGTCCTCAATTCTAATTCCATAATTTAAATTCCGTGTACCAAACCGGGCCTAAAAGCTCGTCAAGAAAATTGGGCCGGTTAGTGGTCTCGGCCTACCAAGTGGGAGCGAGTTGATCATTGGGTTGGTTAGGCACCCAGAGTAACCAAAAGACCGTTAATCAATACCCGGCCAGTTGATCATTTCATCATTGTCCGTTGATGACAAGTTCATAATCTTATTTGTCCTTCAAACGTACATGTCTTGCATATAACTGATTTATACTCTAAGAGGGAAGTGAATTAAAGTATTTGAAAATTTTTCATAAGACAAGATAAAAACAAAAAACCGAAGCAACGGAAAAAGATAAGGATCAATTAAGAAAAATGTTACAAGTATTATATATTGGTTAAAATATCATGTTTTAGTACTTTAAGGCTCCTTAAAATTTTTAATCTCCACGAACTTGATTGACTTCACCAAGAAGACCTCAACGAGATTTGACTAACATCTCTTGTCAATGGTAGAGAGATTTTACAACGGCTATCTCTACCGTTTACAAATATAGATTTTAAGACTATTTTTAACATTAAATAAAATAGAATTTAAAAACTATCCACACCTTTACTGAAAATTGAAAATAAGTAACTTCTCTACCAAAGAGATAAAAATCATAATTGAGTAGAAGAAGAACAAAAATGAATCAAGAACTAGAAGCCTTTGAGCAAAGTAGTAAATTAAGGAATCACATAATCTTTATTTCGTGTGTGAGCGATCTTAAAAGATCACAATCAGCTACCAAATGAAAATATGAAGAATATATAAAATAGTTGCTTGGAACAGTTGAAAATGGCTATGAAGTTGATTATTGAAAGTAATGTTCTTTGGTATGAAAATGAGGCTTAGAGGGAATCTATATAGCTTAGGAATTAATCCAAATATGTAAGTAAACGTTTAGAGACATTGTAGAGTAATTTATGGTTGGTTAAATTCAAAAAAAGAAATTTGAGAAACTCTTCAATGGTTACAGTACATGTTCCGGTATAGGGGTACCGTTCCAGCGGTAGGTGGATATCGTCTCAAGTTGAATGTCTCAGGCGTTCCCTGTCTCTTCCGGTACCACCCTGTCATTTGACCGGTAGCCAAGAACTGTTGGTCCAATTCCTTTATACCGTAAGGCAAAAATAATTTTTTAGAAAAACTTATTTTTTTAATTTGGTTTTCAAAACTTCCCTCTCAAAGATGATTTAAAAAAGTTTAGTATAACATTTAAGTGTAAGGACAAGTGTGATTATATCATTCCCGTCATACCTTTAACATTTTATCTATCTACGCTCGTCTAGAAATCTTCTTGGTAAGGCAAAAACAAGTTTAGTAAGAATTGAGCATTTTGTTTGTCTTGCAAAGACGTTAGTAATCGGAAAGTCTTACTTGGCACATCAAAATTACGAGATTCGACATTCAAAGCCAAGATTGTATAATCAACAACTCAAAGTACCAAGCCGCACAACAAAATTGAGTTTAGAAAAAAATGAGTTAAATTAAAATAAACAAAAGGCAAATCCAATTTCAGAAAAATAAAGTTAAGTGCGTGAGTAAAAGAAATATAAGCAAAATTTAGAATCTCGGGGCAAGAAATATGCAGTAAACGACAAGAAATCCACCTTTGTCCTAAAATAATTATCCCATTTTTCTTTTTAGTAGAGAAAAGGGAGTAATTGATTGCATGAAAACTGGGAAATAGTAACCTAAAAGGTGGCCTCCTAAAACAAAGTATAACCTCCTAAAACTCATTAGATAAAAACAATTCTAGAACTCAACAATTTAAAGAAGTGAATCATACTACTACAGGGTTCTATTGCACGCCACTCCACTTGGCCCAATCCACAAACTGCATCCCACCATAGATGTTGTTAGCAAACCGGATTCCGACCGTGAAGCCCATCGCAACAGGCGGGACCCGCTTCGCCAGCGCCGATGCTTCGACAACACGTTCCAGTCCGTTTATTATTTGGTAACGAGTGTTCGAAGACACCGCAAGGAAAACACCTGAGAGTATACAAACAAAAGATGCACAATCTGGCATTTAATAAACTAGTGGATGAAATGTGAATTACCATCACATATGGAGGACAATTAGTGGAATTTAATCAAATGATGATAATAATAATAATAATAATAATAATAATAATAATAATGATAATAATAATAATAATAATAATAACAGTAATAATAATAATAATAACAATAATAATAATAATAGAACCTACCCCATAGTGCAGCACTTTTCACTAGAGGAGGAACAGGTATATCATCTTCGGACTTCTTGATGCTCCTGGCAATTAATGCAAGTCAATAACAAAATATATAGTACATATTTCTTATGAAAGGGAATAACAAAAAATGAAGTTATATGACATTATGACCTCTTATATATGTCTTTTCAAGTATGAAAATATGATAGGGTTATCAAGTTGTACCTCTTAGCATTCATCAACATATTTGCAATGCCTTGACCAATAAGGCCACACCCAAATCCAACTGAGCCATACAACACTCCCTGGATTCAGAACAAAACGGAAAAACTTCCTCACGATCAACTCGTTTAAAAAACAAAACAAGAAAGAATACGACCCGGAAAAAATGAAAAAATCTAGATTTTCCGAATGATTGATGAACTGAGAACTAAATACTGTATATTCTTTGTAGTTGCATGTGTCATTAATCTGTACCTTGTAAAAATATGTGGCAATCCTCTGTTGCAATGAAAATCTACAACCCGGCCTCTCAGCTTCAAAAACACTGCATCAGAATTATATCGGCCATGGTCGTTATAGGGGATGCAGGTAATTCTTCTTTTAACTATACAAAATTCAACTAAACGCTTCATATTATCTTATTGACTTATTGCCCAATACTAGTAAAAATTAAGAAATAAATAAATACAACACGAAAAAGTTAGCATATATTACATGATTCACATCTAACTTACAAAAAAAGATGCAAAGAAACATATACAAGAGAAGACATTGAGGATCCGTTTAGAGGAGAGTTCTGGATGGCTATATCTATATCTTGGTATATAGGTGATCATATAACATTTCAATCAGCCTTTGCTCATTTTTAGAAAGATTCTATATATTTATGAAGATACAACAAAACCCTCCATCCAAACTGACCCCTAGGGACAGTTAAAATATGAGAACGTGTTCAAAGTTATCAATGAGCAGTTTAAAATCTCTGGGAAATAATGATAATGAGTGATTTGGAGAGATATGTTGAGATGATATGAAAGACAGGGCACTTCACACCTGCTAGGAAGAGATCCACAAGCATACCGCAGTGGTCCAAATAATCCAGTTGAAACGGGCTTCTTCCCAAAGCGGACATAAGGAGCCAGCATACCAACTAAAGCAATGTCAACAACAATGCCAACCAAAAGATCAGCAGCATACAATTCAAACTCTGCCCAAAAGTCTTTTCCTCTTTTTTGTACCTCAGCAAAAGTAGCACAACAAGAGTCTATCACAACCTGCATTTATAGATAATATGTATCATGCATTCATACAAGGTTGGTAAAAACTACTCACTCTCATATAAGACCCACTTTGGACTACGATTTTTGACCGGAGTTGAAGTTAATTCTACCACCAAAGTGATATTCAAGTAATAATTAGTAATTAAAACTAACATGATCTTAAAATAAGCAAAAAATTCCTAATACAGCAGAAACCAAGTTTGAATATTACGGAGTATGAAAATTTGACACCCAAAATGAGAGAATAAAAGAAAGTTGGGTTAGCCACACGAATAGAAAAATATGACTGCATGTTGGGACAAAGGGAGTAAACAAAAATGTAAAGAGAAGCAATACCAACATCTACAAAACCTAGTATAGTCTCGACTCTCTAGGGGTCTAGGGTCAAGAGAGAGGCTAATTCTATTTCGCCCCTAATGCATTGTTACAATTACTGCCCAAAATTAACCTTTGCTAAAACATTATCAATAATGATTCTTTAAGCTCCATTGGCAATGGGAGCTACTGAGCTACAAGACAAAAATGAGTTCCAAAACCAAATCCTCAGATAACAACCGACTAACCTCTGTTCCAATTTTAAACAGAAAAGAAGGATCGGCTAACATTCGGTCCCTTAGCAACGAGCAATGTCTCATTAAAAATCCAAGTGGCCAAGCAGCAGCCTGAACATCATCAAATGAAACTGGTGTGAGGACTCTCCAGCTTCAAACATGAAGAGTAATACAATAAAATTTAGAAACTTTTGAACCTGCAGATCCAAGTACCGACTAAGAACCAAACTGCGAAGCCCTGTAGTCTTGGCAATCTCCCACATAACATCAGGCAAATCAGTTCCACGCTTCTCGACCTCTCGCACGACCTCCTCGAACTTCATCACCGGTCCAAACTCATCTTCATCGCCGTCGCCTTCATTTCCTCCTCCTCCTCCTCCTCCGCCGCCTCCGCCGCCGCCAGACGGAAAACGTCCGTTTCCGCCACTCTGGCCGTCGTCTAGCTTCTTCGGTTCCTTCTCTGCATCGTCCAACAAGGCGCGGGAAGTAGGTGCGGACTCCGATCCACCGGTGCATTTGAATCTGAGAATATTTCCATGATTCCGGAAGGAAATGTTTAAGGGTACGAGATTGGGGGTTTTGGAGCTACGGAGAAGGTGGGATCGTAGAATAGGGTTTGGAGATTGCTGGGGAAGATGATGAAGGTGTTTGGGGTGATTGAGAAGTTTCGACGAATTGAAACTGGGGGCGGGAATCGACATTGTTTCAGGCAGGTTTTGGTTTCAAAGCAGAGCTCTTGATTCAATTAAATTACAGATGCTAACCCAGTCACCCAGATTACAAAGTGCCTATATTTGAGTAATTCAATACTTATTTTTGAGTAATTGAATACTTATTTTCGGATAATTGAATATTCATTTTCGAAAGTAATTGAATTTAGAAAAATGAATATTCAGTTAATTGAAAATGAGTATTCAATTGCTCGAAAATGACTATTCATTTACTATCAGTTACTCGTAAATTAATATTCGCTACAGATGTACGGGAAACGCCGTAGAACCGATTGTAGGGTATATATTGTAAAGATTACGTACTCTCTTCTATGGAGTAGTCTATTACGTAATTTTTGTCATGTGCTTCCTTTCAAATTATGTAATCTGTAAATTTTTTTTCTTATATTTTTTTAACAAAAAATTGACATTTTTATCTTACATTGTGTTAAAAATACTAAAAAGTACAGAGAAAATTATTTGTTTTTGGGAGCAAAGCATCAAGTAGGTTGTATTGAATACTCAGGGTCGTTCCTCAGAATTCAACGGCTTGGACCGAGACAGAAAAGAAGGCCCTGAAACTCTTATCTCTAATGTCACAACTATTTGTTTTTTTTGTTGCTCTCTTAATTGTGTTGCTCATTATTTAGCTAGAGGCATGTTGTCTCACAATTCGAGTGAGATGTTTCTCCACCTCGCTTTGTTGCAAAACTTCTTAATTGATTAATACTGAAGAATATCTCTTTTACCTTAAAAAAAATTAAGGCCCTCTTTGGCATTAACATTAGCAATTAGTGTTAGTGTTTTGAAAAGACTATAAAACGGTAACCTTTAACGTCAGCATTATAAGGAGTGTAAGCCACATATTCTATTTCTTTGAAAAAGTAAATACCGAATGAATTTTTTTCAGACAATCAAAAAAATGAGAAACATAGTTCAAGGGTAAGGAGTAGATAATTTTAATTTTAAATGTCTCGTTTTTTAACAGAAAAAAAAATCTTAGGACATTCTATGTGAATATATAGAAAAAACATAAAAAGAAGATAAGACATGTTTTCTCCGTCCTACAAAACTTTTTTCGAACTCTTTTTAATCACTTTAAAAGTAATTTTCTCATTTTTTACTATTTTTCATTTTAGAAAAAATATGTAGTTCAAAACACTTTCACCCGCTAAACAACTTAATCAAAAAAAATTAATATCCAACATCTTTTCATTACGAGAAAAGAAAAACCTAGCTTATTCGTAATTGGATTATACGCATAAATAGTCCCCGTAGTCTTTATAAGTGGTATATATATAGCCTCCGAAATTTCAAAAGTTTTAAAATAGTCCCATTGGTAAAGAGCCAATGCATATGAGTCTTTTTTAGGGAAAACGTGAAACATGTAATACACGCGCATACTATGCGAAAATGTGAAGCAAATAACAAAATACAGAAGCTAATCTAGGGTGATTTCTTTTACATCACATTCATCACCCGGTCCAATGCATAGAATAAGGGGAAATTGGACTATGTTTCCTTTCAAATAGGTATTTTCAACTCCCTCCAATCATATTTTCTCCCCATACATACACCTCCTCTAAGATTCTTGGGGTAGGATCTTAGACACTTAAGATCAGTCCAATATAAATTGGGAAACCTAATGTATCAAAGAAAATCATGAATAATTCGCGTACCGCAGAAATGACTCCCGGGTAACCAATTTTTTCGATCCACGGGTGAACTCGTTTCTTCAATCAAAGCCACAATGCTAGTCAATCAGTCTTGCCCCCATGATCAATAACAATGGCTTCTATGTGCCGTTGACAACCGAATCGTCCTCACTTTTTACATGTCAATGGACAAGCGCTATGAGGATTTGTCTGCCAATCCTGGTGAGATCGACTAGCCAGGATATAATTAAGAAGCTATATATGAAACCATTGATAGGGGTGAAGAAGTAACTTACTTGAATCAGCAGGGGGTTCAGAGTATCTTTCTTGTTCTCAGATATTTGTACATGAGGAAAAATGTCACAGCAGCACTAACAATGATACCGGCGGTTGTTAGCCAAAATGCAAACTGCATACACAAGTAGAAAATGAGACGAAACACATCAGGATTATCACTTCACTGCAGGGAGACGAGAGCATAGTATTAGCTTTGGTGAATGGAGATTACAAACCGCATGCTCTTCAAGGTAAGATCTCAAGTTCATGCCAAATATGCCTGCACACATAATGTCAATGATTAGTATTATGCACACGGGTGCAATTCAGGGCAAGGTGAAAGAACCAACTTAAACTATGAGCATGACGAAAGAGCAGACACAATATCTAAAAGGTGAAATACTGCAAATTAATGGGCAAGATTCCAATATTATTAAGGCTCTAAGAGAACTAAAAAACCTTGTATTAGGTCCAAAAGTAGTGTCCAAATTTGGTCTCCATATAACTTTACAAAACAGGCTCTTACTGATACTAATGACGGATTACCTGATACTAAAGCACCAACCGCAACACAAAATGCCCCAAGCTGCAAGAGTAATTCCACTCTGCTCACCTCAAGCCTCCGAGAGCTGCTATGTGCATTTTTTTACATGCGTTAGTACAAGCATATTCTTTTTATAAAAATGAAGAAGAAGAAGAAGAGGAAAAAGTCTAATGGTTGGATTTCAAACGTGGGGGAAAATCTCACTTTCCTGTACTAGTTGTTTGCTTCTTACTTTCAATAAGGTTTTGGGTAGTAAATACACCAATGCATCAAGAGTCTAATGAAACACTCTCTTTGCATTTTATAGGGGTAAGACGGTGTTCATCATGACCTCCAAGACCCCAACGAAGTTGGGATTATGCTGTGTTGTTGTTGTTGTTGTACACACACACACACACACACAAGTTGTATTTGCTAAATCAACATGGCCAGTCAAGTCATATTTATCTATAACAGCATAAAGGATCAGGAATACTAAAGGTATATAAACCTCAGGTTTACAGCAATTGAGTCTTCCATTTCTTTTGCAGAATCAAGGAGCCTTTCTGCTTGACCATGACAGTATTCACATCTGCATTTCCAAGAGAAAAAGTAGACTGAGTAGAATGCAAGTGACATTGAATTGCAGTGTATAAAATCCACTCAAATTTGCACATCAAAGAGCTATACTTCCGTGAAGGACTATGTAAAATGTAGGCCACAGTGCCACACATTTTCTGTTGTATAATTATTTGCTGTTCAAAAAACTATACTGTACAAAAAATGTGCTGAAAATGGAACTGCCACAAGATCATAACGACTGAATAGACATGAAACTGAAAATATTGAAATCTAGTGGATCAGAATTTTGTGTTCACTTGAGCACTTATTGTCAAGTACTCAAGTCACCGTATTTATTTATTTGTGGTAATTTAGGCAGACTCGGGCTCTTACTTTTTTTAAGATGCTGGAGTTGAATGTACAAACAAGATGCATATTATACAAATGCTACCTAAGAGAATAACTTTCGCAATAAAGGCTATTCTAAAATAATTTTAGTAGCCTTCCATAAGCCTAAAACACACAAATCCATATTATATTGAGTCATCTAGCCACTACAGCTATGATAACTCTTAAACTCAGCAAACAATGAAACAGTACTTGATAAATAAGTGATAAAACTTTGTACTAAGATTTAATTGAAGCCAATATAAAGGACTCAATTTGCATTCGAGCAGTTACTATAGTCATATACCCATAGATTTGTGGCTCAATGTGACCTAAGTTGAGATCCATATCATTAAAACCACATTTATGATGTCAGTGCACAACAAAGATTGCTGAGGCATTCAAATGCTTATCTACTTCGCTAAAAAACATTGAAATGGAGCCAATAAATAACCTTTGAAGATAGTTCTCCAGAAGCATTTCTATTTCTTCCTCTTCCTCTGTAAAATATGAAATGGCTTAAAGATTAGTAGATGCATATGTTATCAGACATATGACACTTGCACTTTGCAAGTTAGCTCAAATTCGATGATGAGTTCCCGCACCTTCCACAATCTGCTTTTCAAGTGGAACAGCACATTCCATCTCGTCATTTCCTTTCTTCAGAGTACAGTCTCTACCCATGATGCAAATAAGACGTATTTCATGGGTGTCCTCGAGAATATCAAGAAGCATTTGTTTAAGAGAATCTGCCCTAGATCCTAATTCAACCTTATATCCAAAGGATTAGTGGAACCACTAGAACATAGCCTAAAATTGTGATCATTCATCTTTCAGCTTATAACAGTAGTAAAATGGCATACCAATGCTTGCTTGCTAATTCGAAGCTGCTCTAACACGTCTGCAGTCAATCTATTTGGCAAAACCTCAAGTAAAGCTTGCACCTGCAAAGAGAGAATGTTTAATTGTAACTTATCCAACACCAACACACCACGCACCCATTAACCATGCTCCACCCACTTGAGGCTCTAAATCCCATAGTCTTTGCTCCAGCCGTTGTATTCGTGAATGTAAGGCTGCTTCAACCACCTAAAGATGCTCAGTATAAATACTTTTAGAAGCTACAAAACAATGATAAATCCCTTTTCTCAGTTGGCTAAGCTATAGTTTTATCATAATGTCAAGTTTCAAATAGGAAGAAAACCTCAAGCACAAATGGCATAGATGGGGCTCCATTCATGTTTTTAGGATTTAGTCGGGGTAACAATGCATTGATGAAAGCTTTACCTCCCCGGCTGTGAACATTCAAAATTGAAAGCAAAGCATGAGTTTCCAAAAGGCCATTGTTGCAAATTAAAGAAAACATATATATCACATAGCGAAGCCTATGGAATACTCTAGAGAGTTGTTCAGCTCTCTAGAAGCTTATGGAAGAATGTGTAAAAGTGTGAAAGTCTCTAGAATATTATAGAGAATGTGGAGCCTTCTAGAACCTTGTGGAAGGTTATAGAAGAGGATGGAAGTGTGTAGAGATAGATGTGTGTGGATGATTCTAAATCCTAACTTACACCGTGGAGGAGTAGTATAAATAGGGGAAGATCCCTTCGCTCCTAACCATCAAAGTGAAGAAAAGATCTCCAATTAATAAGGGAGAAAGCCTCAAGCTTGAATGAACCACCATAGCGTGATTCAATCTAGTAAACATATTCTTGTAGTCTTACTACTACGTATTTTTTTATATAGTGAAAGATGATACAATTTGATAATAATTTGTCTTATTGAATATTGAGAGATATGTCCCTATATATAGGGATTACAAGAGAGAATCCTATTCCTAGTAGGAAAGGAATAAAGTAAGTATGGTAATACAAGAATAAGGAAACTAAATAATATTAGGAGTCTTCCTATTATCCCCCCGCAAGCTGATCAACGGATACGAGGGGCAGCTTGGAACACAAATAATGAAACGGAGTCGGCGGAAGCGGTTTTGTCAAGATGTCAGCGAGCTGCTCAGAAGAAGGAACATGATGAGTAGTCATAGTGCCAGCCATAACCTCGTCTCGAACAAAGTGACAGTCAGAGCCAACATGCTTCATGCGATCATGGAGAACGGGATTCTTGGTGACATAGATTGTGGACTCATTATCACAATAAATCTTAGGTTTCGTAGGCGGAACATGCAGAGCATCCATAATATAACGAAGCCACATCGCCTCTGCCACCCCTGCGGCCATAGCGCGATACTCAGCTTCGGTGGAGGAGCGCGAGACGCGAGTCTGTTTTTTTGTGCACCATGAGATAAGATTCGGCCCCAGCATAAGGAGATACCCAGTGGTGGAACGACGATCATCTTTGTCGTTAGCCCAGTCAGAGTCAGAATAGACAGCAAGATCAAGAGAGCCTGTTCTGAACAGAAGACCATGAGAAGAAGTACCCTTCAAGTAGCGAAGAATACGTTTAAGGGCCAAGTAATCCTTCTCTGTAGGATTATGCATGGTCTGAGAAACTCGATTTACAGCATACTGAATATCAGGGCGAGTCACCGCAAGATAGTGTAGACCACCCACAAGGCTACGGAACAATTTTGGGTCGGAGAAGATGGACGAGATCTCCCGGGTTTGCCGTGCCGCCATCGGAGTGACAGTGGGTTTGCAATCAGTCAAGCCAGCCCGCTGAAGAAGATCAAATATGTATTTTGTCTGATGAAGCAAGATAGAATCCGCAGAGCGACGAACCTCAATGCCAAGAAAGAAGTCCAGAGGGCCCAAGTCTTTGAGGCGAAAATTTTTATGCATAGCCTGAGTAACAGCAGAGATGAGATCAGAAGAGCTCCCTGTAATAATGATGTCATCAACATATAGGAGAACAATGACCATGCCACGGGAGCTGTGAAAAGTGAACAGACTGGTGTCATGACGACAGCACCGGAAACCAAGTCCCTGCAAAAAAGTAGCAAAACAGGTGTACCAAGCACGAGGAGCCTGTTTAAGGCCATACAGAGATTTGCGCGGCTTGGAAACAAACTCAGGCCTATTGGGATTGACGTAGCCCGGTGGTTGAGACATATAAATATCCTCATCGAGTGTACCATGGAGAAAGGCATTGGCAACATCAAGCTGATGAAGAGGCCAATCATAGTGTAGAGCAAGAGTGAGTACCAGACGAATGGTTTGCTGCTTGACAACCGGGCTGAACGTCTCTTTATAATCGATACCATACTCTTGATGGTACCCTTTGGCCACTAGACGAGCCTTGTACCGAGAGACGGAGCCATCCGGATTCCGTTTTATACGATACACCCACTTGCAACCAATAGGATCTCGGCCCTTGGGTAGGGGTACCAAATCCCATGTGCGCTGTTCATTCAGAGCTACAAATTCTTCATCCATGGCATGGCACCAATAGCTATTCTTGGAGGCTTGGTGATAGGTGTGAGGTTCAGAGGTAGGAGGAGAGGTATCAGTGGTGGTAGCAGTATAGGTTTTAGGCTTGAAAATGCCTGATTTGGCACGGGTTTGCATGGGATGGGAATTTGTTGTGGGGATCAGTGCTGTCGACGGTCGACCGTGTGAGGGTGGACGGGTAATGGTATCGACCGTCTGTAGAGATTCAGAACGAGTGTGAGGAGACGGTCGACCGTGGGTAGATGTATGAGGGGAACGGTCGACCGTTTGCGGAGCAGTAGCAGATGGAACGATTTGAGAACTGTGCGGTGCCGGACCCTGTGAGCCTGGTCTGGGAGGAAATATGGGGATGATACCTAAGGGGTTAGAGGAGGCTGGGGTAGACAGAAGTTTAGAGTAGGGAAACTGATCTTCTACAAAACGAACATGACGGGAGACATATGTTTTCTGAGAAATAGGATCATAACACTTGTAACCTTTCATGGTGGGATGATAACCTAGGAAAATGCAGGGGGTGGAACGTGGTTGAAGCTTGTGATCTGTGTGAGGACGAAGCCAGGGATACACAAGACAACCAAAAGGACGAAGGTGAACATAATCCGGAGGCCGACCATAGAGGGCTTCAAAAGGGCACTGGTTATTTAGGGTGGCTGTGGGTAGGCGATTTATAAGGTAGTTGGCGGTAGCAAGGGCTTCAACCCAAAAGGAGACTGGAAGGTGGGAATCATAGAGTAAAGCAATGACAGTCTCAATGAGATGCCGATGCTTGCGTTCAGCCACACCATTCTGTTC